GTGCGTGATTATATTGTCTTATTAATGTTTTTATATAAAATGTGAACTTATATTACTAATGACTAGGAACAAAGTTTTGTTACATTATGCTAATTAAGTGAAAGAGTTCCACAACAACAACATATATTTAAAAATTGGTTGAGATTAACTTTACAATAAAAAATCCAATCATATTAATCACATACAAAAACACATATATAGCAAGGAAAATGCATAACCAATAATTATGCGAAGATTAATAAAAGTTCGTATTCATTTTTCCACATTCAATAAATTACTCAAATGAGATATCGATGTTTTACTATTCATTGGGAAAAAAAGGTGAACAAGAAAAGGGAGTGACAAAAGGGTTTAGGAGAGATTTTGGTGGCTTGGGAGATGGTGAAATGGAGCCACTTCTTTGTCTCCACATCAAATCTCCTCGGTGGAATTTAAAGTTATATTATTGACAAAAGATTTGAAACGAAACACACTTTAAATAAGAGTGTCAAAAGTTGTTAATGGTTTCTATAAATTAGTTGATCCACTTTAAAGTTTTAACTTCTTATGATTTGGAAAAGAGGAAAAAGTATATATAAGTGGGCCTATACATTGATAAAAAGACAAAAGGAGTTCATCAAGACTAGGGAATAATGATATCAGCATAAAATAGGATGTGGTTTGATTGATAAATAATTGAGAAAAAGACCACTCGTTATTACTCTTAAGACATTCTCTCTCGATCTCCTCGTTTTCTCTCGATCCAAGTGCCTTAATCCAACCATGCATGTACATTAATAATGACTATATGTTTGATTAGGTGTAATTAAGGATTATAGACTAGCTAGATGTTCTTGTCATAACATAAAATGTAAATGCATAGAGCCGAGCCAAACATACGAAGGATCGATATATATATATATGGATTAAATAGGGGTAAAAATGGTTGTAGCAGTGTCCTACAAAAGAAGTGAGACAGTATAGCTATAAAACGGAGCGGGGTTGAGAAGAAAAAAGAAGTGGACATGGAGATGCAAAGTTTGAACGGCACATCAAAAGTGGTGGGAGCAAAAGTTTGTCGGGAAGTAATTGGAATGTAATGGCATGCAAACACCAAAGCTGAAGATGCTACGACGTTTAGGATTTTGGATTTACGTTGTTTCTCTCTTTTTTCCTGCTTCGGTATCTGCGAATTTATCGATAGTGGCTCTGATTTGATGATAAACCCAATTAGATAGGCGATAATTAACATAATTATAATTAAGTGGGATCGGATGAGACAAAACATAAAATGTCTTTAGATTAGTTGAGAGATGTTAGAGACAACGCGTGCCTCTTTCTTCTACTCCCATTACAACCACTCCACGTAAAAGTAATATGTTAAAAATAATTTCTATTTTATTTTACCCTCCATACTCTCTGCTTTTACATCTCTTCTCTATAGACATTCTAGCTTTTGGCTAATCACCTTTATCTCCTTTTTGTATTTACAATCAAAGTCATCAAGATTGGTGCTCCTTATACGATTAGTTTGATGTTCAATCCAATGTTTAGTTTTCTTGTCCTATAATATAAACAAATGAACCAAGTCGCCTTGGTCCAGTGGTAACTCCCAAATGGAAAAGAGTCTTAGGTTCGAGTCGTTTTGACCATCTAGCCGCGTTTTAAATTTGAAATATTTTTTAACGTGTATCCGGATGTAAGGTCTCATGAAATTAGTTTTTGGGCCTATAAAGTCTTTGGAGTCCTACGATTAAAAAAAAATATATATATATAAACGAATGTGTGAATTAATCATTGGACCATCGATCGGGTCCAATAGCAAGGCTAACCCATATGGATATATAGACAAAAACAAGGTCGAAAAGTAGACTACGGAAGTACAACAAGTGAAAGTAACCCATGCATATAAATTTATGAGTTGAGTAAATACTATATATATTGGTAATTGTTTGACCAACAAGTCTTCATTTTTTATGTATTTGTTGACATCAACAAAAAGTGTGCCAATAGAGATGATTTTCTCATTGCACAAAGCGTGCCAAGAGATGAGCGTTCTTAGTCTTATGTGGTTTTGGAGTTTCCCGATGTGTTTTTGAGTGAGAAAACTATGTCATTTGTTTATGCCTGCTTATATATCGAGCCTTATTCTTTAGTTTTTTGGCTATATAATCAAGTATCATAGGTCGGGATACTGACTTAGTCAGGTTGTTGTAATGATGAGTTGATATTTGTTTCATGACATAACAGACAGATGATATAAAAAAAAGAAATCAACAAACAAGTCTTCATTTACTGTTTGTTAATTTCACATGTATCACTCACCAGGACTCGGACGGATCTGGATATCCGAATTTTTTTAGGATATCCGGATCCGGATCCGAAAATAATAAAAAAATAATTTAAATAATTTAAAAATATTTAAAAAACAGTTTTTAAAATTTATTAATTAAAATTTGCATGATATTTTTAGAAATAAATATTATATCTATTATAAAAAGGACTAAAGTTAAATTATATATATTTAAGATAAAAATAGCTTAATATATGTAAAAGATATATGTTTTTGATATATTTAATGCGTCCGGATCCGGATATCCGGACCTTAAAACTTTACTATCCGGATCCGGATCCTCTTTTCACAGATCCTAAATTTTATTATCCTTATCCGGATCCAGACTCTCCGGATATCCTAATTTTCGGAGCGGATCCGAACGGATACCGGATAATAATTCCACCCCTATCACTCACCAAAGCTTACCAAACAAATAA